CGGGGGGCCGCCAGCCGCCAGCCGCCGAGGGGCCGCCGAAACCGCCGAAGTCCCCCCGCCGATCCCGGGGAACTCACCGAGGGGAGATCTCCCCGGGACGGGCCTCCAAAGCCTCCAGAACTCCCCTCTGCTCCATTCAGAACCCCACTAATGCGGAGCTACGAGCCGACAGCCGCCATCTTCAGGCATGCGCACAACTTTTCTCCCTTTTATAAAAAGTAATTAGCATTTAGGTCACAATTCAGCACATAACAGCCTTCAAATCAGGTAGTATGCGTGTTGCCTTTGAAAATCCATTAATTTCACTGTTTTTCTCTAAGTAGATATAATTGCTGTAAATGCAAAGCACATAGAACAAAGAATTTGAATTATATTCCTCACTAGCATAAACATTCTACAGTATTTAAGCTCTGTTCAGAAGTCTTTCTGTGTGCAGAGAGCAACTGATCACACATAATCACTCTCTACATCATCAACAATGAGTTGTTCTATCAATATTTTCATCCAAGGCACAGCGGAATGCTCCAGTAGATCTTGGATTTCAAATGTGTCAATTATTTTTGTAATCAATTCTTCTATTTTAAATCATCAAATAAGTATTTGAATCAAAAAATTATGAGTTACCTCTAATGTTTGTTACGTATTTTGAAGTTATTCTTCTACACTGTTACTTTTTTAGTCAGTTGCTAAATTTTGTGAGTTATATTATACTGAAGTGCCATCAGGCACAAGGAATCAGGACCACCAGTTAGGTTGCAGCATAGATTAATTCAAGCCTAAACACAAGAATCTGGTCAACTAAAGTTCAACTCTAAATTAGTGCCAGATAAGGATCAATGAAACTCAGGAGAGGTTGGACTTAAGTGCTTGTGGGAATGCACAAATGTAAGTTGATGATGTATTTATCGCCACCACCACCATCACCCTAGGTTTGCCTCCTCTTCTCCTACTAGTACATCTTCAAGCAGACTAGAAATTTAAACACTATCTCCATTATTCTCCTGGAAGTCCTGCTATATTTCCTCATCATGATTTCTAGGAAGGATGAGCAACTAATGGTGGGGATACATGCTAGGAGTACAGATAGCCCTCCACTTACAACTGTCGCTTGGCGACCATCTGAAGTTATGACAGACCCCTTCCCAAAAAGGTAGTTAAGACCTGGTTTTGAAGTTCCAACAATTATAACCTCCGCAGCCATGTGACCACATTTTGCGCATCAACTGACCCGCATTTATGGTGTTTGGCTAAAAATAATGTGCTTAACCACCGCTGCATTTTCTTTGCAATCCTGATGTTTGCTTAATGACTGCCACAAAACAGATTGTAAAACTGGGTCTGGTCTCATGATGACCCACTTTACAACTGTCATGATTTACAACCATAATGGGTACATTCCATTATGGTATAAGTCAAGGACTACTTGCATACCCAATATATAGCTCAAGCAAGCAGGCACCTCTATTGGGGAGAAGCAATACAGATGCTGGAGACATCTTAGTGACAATAGCAAAAGTATCAATTCATACTACACAGGAGAAGGCAATAGTAAACTCACCAAGAAAACCAAATGGATAGAAAATATAAAATGACTGATGATATAGTGCTGGGTGATGGGCCCCTTAGGCCAGACAGCACTCAACATGCTACTCAGAAAGAGCTTTAGATCCCTCAGTACTAATGGTGTTTATAACATGGCTAGATTAAAGCCTTCGGGACATCTAGTTGCTGATATTGCCATGCAGGAAAAGAATATGTGAAGCTGCAAACAGCATCTCAGGAAGAAATTTAAGAATTTCAGACAGCTGCTAGAAGAGACGAGGCATTATTATACAACATCTGCAAAGACATCAAAGAGGAAAACAGACATGGAAAAACAAGGAAACTATTCCACAAGATCTCTGAATTCAGAGGGAAGTTTCAACCTTCAATTGCTATGCTAAAGGAGATGGATAGTTATTAATTGAAGCCAATGGACAGACAGCAACTGATTGAAAAATCAAAGAAAGTATACGCTCACATTTTATATAGCAAAGATGCAAAAACATCCAATATACTTTGAAAGATATTCCCTACTTACAAGACCCTGTAGTGCTAGAAGAGGAAGTTAGATCCTCTAGTCATTACCAAATTGAAGCCCATAGAATAGATAAAGTATCAATAGAAATATGTCAAACAACAGAAGAATAATCAGTAAAGATTTTAACTGAACTGTAGCAGCAAATGTGGAGAACAACAGTGGCTGATAGATTGGAAGAGGTCAATCTAGATGCCTATACCAAAGAAAGCAAACCTAACTGTGCAAGCTACAATGCAGCATCCTTTATTTCATATATTAGCAAAATAATCTTTAGAATCATTCAACACAGAATGGATCTGTAGATGGAAAGAGAGAGAAAGGTGCCAGTCAGATGACTGACTTGGATTTAGAAAGAGCTTATAACGCTATAAGACACAGGGTAAAACCAGTAGAAAACAAGATTTTTTCCAGTCTCAACCACTCATAAAGCCCATCATTTATATTCAGAAATATTAACTGGCTGACTTTTCTTTGATATGACCCACCTCACCCTCTAACTCGCATTTACAACATGCTTTACTATATGAACACTCTAAAGAATTAATCTTACACTTGAGTTGGGGAACCAAAACATATACCAGTGGTGGTGAACCTATGGCACGCGTGCCAGAGGCGGCACCCGGAGCCCTCTCTGGGGGCACACATGCCATTGCCCCAGCCTCGCCTCCCCCCACGACCCCCTCACCAGCAGCTCCCCTGGAGGAGAGTCGCCCCCGAGCGTGGGCCACATGGAGCAGCGCAGCCAAGGACATGGCAGCCANCATATACCAGTGGTGGTGAACCTATGGCACGCGTGCCAGAGGCGGCACCCGGAGCCCTCTCTGGGGGCACACATGCCATTGCCCCAGCCTCGCCTCCCCCCACGACCCCCTCACCAGCAGCTCCCCTGGAGGAGAGTCGCCCCCGAGCGTGGGCCACATGGAGCAGCGCAGCCAAGGACATGGCAGCCAGGCAGCGTAGACAAGACTCTGTCCTCACACCTCATCCCGTATAGTTGATGCTGCGGGGTACAGAGGGTGTGGCCGCCATGGCGCTGCTGGGCTGCCTGGGCGATCTGCGGCGGGCCCTGGAGGCGGTGAGTGGCCCTGCGGACAGGTGGGGTGGGGGATGGGGTGGGGGAAGAGCGGGGGCGGGGCAGGGGTGGAGCGGGGACGGGCCAAGTTTTTGGGCACTCAGTCTCTAAAAGGTTCGCCATCACTGACATATACTGTTGTTTATTTGTCATCAACTATGGTAAACTTCTGAATTTCCATTGCCTGGAAGGATTGAATCTGGGGAATGTTTTACTTTGGTTCCATTTTCATACTGTTTCCATGCTATTCAACATTCCCAAGAAAATGCTAGGGGAAGGGGAGGACTCCCATCTGGTGAACTGGACTCACACAACGTCAGAATGCTGATACCAGTTCCTTGGAAAAAGTACACTGAGACAACCTGGGCATTGAACACTGGTTCCCTATAAGCTTCTGGGTGTAATTCAAGATGCATTATGCCTTTCTGTTCTTATAAGTACTTAAGATGGCTATCAAAATTTAAGAATAAAGAAAGCTAAAAATACAGCTGAAAATAAATACTAAAATAATTCAACAGTTAAAAGCCTGGTATTAGATATGTCTTCACCATAGCAAATAATGAGAGACCAAATGCATAATTATAAAAAAAAAGGCAGGAGGAAGGAAACCATTACTTTACTTACAATTATGTGAACACTGTGGAATTATCATCGCAGTGTTGAAGTAATCAAAGCATATTCCACAACGCAACAAGTTATCAACTTCCTGAAATACATTAAAAATCACAGTATTTACATACAGAGTAAGCTGGAAAATCATTTTGCAAAAGTACTTACTGGAAAAAATAATAAACTGAATATAATTCCTATTCTTTTCTGTAAGGTCAGAGCGTAACAAAGCTGCTCTCTCTAATTCTACTCATTTTCCAATGACCACAGTCAACACTGGGAGTATGGGAGTGTGGTTTAATAATATCCGTAGAGCATTATGCTGCTTAAGATTATACTAGGTGAACTATTTAAGTTAATTTAAGAACAGGAATTAAATGCACAACTAAGAATGAAAAAAACAACATGGTTACTCTTCTTCTTTATTCCAGCATCCTAGAAATTCCATCTGAAACCTGAAACCGTATCAGTAATAGGGAGAACCTAATTTCAATGGCTTAAGTTTCTTCCTCTAGTCCAGTGGTTCTCAGTCTGTGATCCACAGACCCCTGGAGGGGGGGCAGCAAAGTCATCACAGGGGGTCCGCAAAGGCTTGGAGAAATGTTATGTTTTAAATCTTGAGTTAAGTCTTGGTGGTCCATGGACACAAAAGGTATTGAAGAAAAGGTATTGAAGAAAAGGTTCAGAACCACTGACTTTGGTCATGCAGATTTTGTGAGTTCAGTGTGATCAAACCAAATTTCCCCCTCCACACCCTGAGTCCAATTTCTTCCAGCATTTTGCAATACACCAAAATTTTAAAAATCAGATAATGAAATCTTATAGTTGATCTATCAGATTTTGAACCCCTTCAGTATGGCCATAGGTAGACATTATCAATTTTCTCTAAAGTATCAATTTTTTCATACATCTAAAGTATGAAGTTGTTGCAGCATAAAGGTTCTCAAGAGTATCTAAATATAACTTTTATTTGTAACTTTCAAACTGGCACTCTTAGCAACAAAGAGCATCCCTTTACAGATATTTTCACCTGTCATTATGAATCTAAATATGTTTATCCCTAACGCCTGCAGTTTTAGAAGATATAGTGCACGCATGTCAAACTTGATCGCCTCACGTGATGTATCATGACATTTTTTGCCTTTGCGGAGCCAGGGTGGGTGTGGCCTGCACATGACGCATCCGGCCCGCGGGCCACCAGTTTGACTATCCTGATATACTGGGAAGGTCTTTAATGAGATTTGCTTCTTTCCAACCATGCAAGAGCCTTTACCTATTCTTATGTGTGCACAAGGATATTAAGCACAGCAGGCCATGAAGCCTCAGAGACAGAAATGGAAGTGTAATCAGTCTCTTTCGTTTATATGCAACATCATTGCATGTTGGAAGGAATCTACATAGGGTCACTATAGCTAAACTTAGAACTGGCACACAATCAATCAGACCAGTGGTGGATTCAGCTGGTTCGCACCACTTCGGCAGAACCGATAGCTAATTTTTCGTTGCCCAGGCCCAGAATCGACTTCCGGAAGCAGCATCCACAGAGAACTGGTTGTTCACATATTTGAATCTCACCACTGAATCAGACAAATAAATATAACTAAATGGCCAATCAGCTAAACAACTATTTATTTATTCTATTTGTATAGTCACTTGTGTCAGACCAGTGACTCTTATTTAATCAAATATCAATTAATATTTCAAGAATGCTGTTGTTCAGAGGCATGGTATTATCATTTCATAAGTTGAAAGTAGCTTGCTTCTCAGCACTACAGAATTTCAGACAAATCTACCACATTTCTACCAATGACTACATGGAAACTGACACCAGCCACCTCCAAGAAGGAGCACTAGTAATTATCATTTGGAAAATGCATTGCTTAGTCTGTAGTGTGTTTTGACTAGGATTTGTGAGAATATGAGAAGCTGCTTTATAGTATCAGGTTGTCTACTACAGGAGCTGTGCTCCTAATACCCTAAAAATGTGGTCCACCTCCTAAATCATTAAAAATGATGGCAACCGGAATTTTATATGTGATTGAAATAAAAATTATTAATTCATTTGTAATAGTATGCAAAATTACTATATCCAACAGAGCTGTGCAAAGTATTTGAAAAAAAAATACTTCACAAATTTCAAGTATGAACAAAGCTCTTCTCTTTAAACTGTTCATATGCCATATCTTTTGCAAAGCTTGCGAATGCTCTAAAAGCTGTTCCCAGCTCTATCTGCATGCAAGACATGAACCAGCAGCATTTTAACTTAGCCACAAAGATTATATTATGTCAGAGGTCTAATTGCAACTGAGAAGAAAATGTAATGTCCAACAGGGCTTGAGCTTCTTAAATCCAATTATATCACAAGGCTATCTACAAAGACTGTAAGCCACAATCTAAGGTTTCAGACAGAAGGCTTTCTGAACCCTGTCAGTAAATGCTAGGAAGATATCGTGAAGTTGAGCAGATAAGGTTAACTATTTTATTAATTATTTAGCATTATTAGATTGCATGGCTATAATACTTCCTTCAACATTCCTCCACAGCTGCTGGAATTATGTGTATCAATCACAAAATGTACTAATAGAAACCACAATTGCCAAATATTCATCTGCAAAGGGCAGTGTCAAAAGGCAAATAAGATATTCAGAGAGCTGCAAAAGTACAAAATATTTTTTGAAATAATACCTTAAGGCAATGATCCCTCCAAAATACTGCAATAAAAAAGTAGGGAGAATGGAGATCCAGATTGGAATAACAAAACTCGGCAGCTAGGCTGATTTTTTGAACAGGGGAATCACCAATCAATACAAATGTGGGGCTACTTTCAGGCTGCAGATGCAATCAACTTTCATTTTTTTAATGTCCTTGGCGTAACAATTTAAATCTCTGTTTGTATTTGGGACTTTAATTCTTCTTGCTTTGATGCCTGATAAATCCTCATTTTATGCTTTGAACTATTTGCCGCTTCTGTTTTGACTTGATACAGGCTTCATTTACATTTTATGGTATCACACCCTGACAACTCTTTGCTATCTCCTATGTAAGTCACATTATATAACTACAGTTAATATTTTACTAAGGAGTACTAGCAGAAATAAAAAGCTGAGATGCCAAAAATTACTGTTGTACTTTAAGTGAGTGTTCAGTACTTGGGATGGGAGATCATTGGGGGGGGATAATACCATAGCTGCAGGCTAGTCTGGAAAAATGTAGAAGCCAACCATTTCCAGAACATTCTCAAGCAATATTTGTTGAAAGAGATTTTGCCTTTTCCAATATCTATTCACTGAAAATATAAGCCTGCCAGACTTTCAGAAAAGACACTAACTCAGCAATACCTCCGAGGGGGGAATGGTTAGTGAAGGCGTTGGAACTTGCTGAGATGGTCAAATTGACTTTTTTGACGAGAGAAAAAAAGAATATTTACATTTATTGCTGACTGAAATCCCCTTTTGGCATAAAACAAACAAAATAAAGTTATGATGTATGGTTTTGATGATTAGACAAGATTATACAAAGAGTCATGTCGTAACTTTAGGGAAAGAGGTAAATTTATAATTGTACTTCTAATTGCTGCAAAGAAGATCAGAAGCCACTTCTTTGTATCTTTTCTTCTTTCTTTTCTATTTTTCTTTTACTTTTTCCCTCTTTAACTTTTTCTTTGGTTGCTTTCTCCTTCCTTATTTTTTATTACTTTGTATCTTCTTTCTTAAAACTGTTAATGGAAGCGACGCTGAGGTTCCAGCTTAGCTCTTTCGGCAAAGACGTGTACACATTGTACACATCCCCAAGTACTTTTCTCATTAAACTACCATCCTTTCCAGGATCAGGGACACCTTCCGTGCCGGTCAGGCCCTAGTCCACGCCATTAACACAGCCCGCATGTTAAGTTGGGCTCCCTTCCCCCTCCACTTACTTCCAGCGGGAGAAGGTGCTTGGGCCACCGCAATTCAGCCACCGGGAAAGTCATAACGTTCAGCTAAAACTGCCCAAACTTTATTTCTCCCGCCCCGCCGGGCTCGAAATTGCCCGCGCGGTAGTCTTGCAGCGTCCTCGAGGAGCGCGCGGCAGGGGAATATTTCCGGGACTATCGCTGAGGCTGTTGGGTATCGTAGTTTTTCCTTTTCCTTTCCTGATCATAAAATGCGATATGAGAATTCTGCATGCTTAACCCACATTAACTATGCTGAATATAATTGATGGCCGGCGACGTTTGGGAATAGATATAACGATACATCAGTTGTTCTGGCTTCTACAACTAATTTGCTCCTTCAATGCTTACTCATTCTATATATTGTGCTGAATTAGCTGAGAATAACTGCTGGAAGAGCTAAAAAAAAGCCATGGAAGTTACTCATCTTGTTTCTTTGCCATCATATGGAAACTGGGAATTTTGATTTGGTCTTAATTAAGAATCCAAAGTCAGAGCAAACTTTGGCATCCAACTTTATCCTTCTAGAACAGGGGTGTCAAACTGCCAGCCCATGGGCTGGTTTCATCATAACGAAGCCGGTTGGGCTCGCCCCATTGCCA